GCGGTTCAAGTTTGAGTGATGACGGCTATGCAGACCACACCCACAAGTTTGTCTCGTCCCTGAATAAGTGAAACCCCAGCGAAATCGCGAGAAGTGTGCACCAAACGTACTGAGCTGGAGTGATTTTGGTCCCTGACTCTTTCACTCGGTTGCCAGAAAGTAGATAAACTGAGAAAACAACGAAGGTCAAAGACTTCACCTTGGGTAGACAGGGACTGTGATTTCTAGCGTGGAAGTTTCATCTCGACAGAAATTGGACTTTTTGGGTTAACACAACTACTCAGCAACAGGCCTAAATTCTCCACAGCTACTGCCGATTAAACATTCAAATTCGATTATCGTTGGTTCATTCGCTGAACTTGACGATTTGATTGCAAACGTTTCCTCACCTGCAGATGTGACAGTGGGTCGTTGGGGAGCGTAGTGATGGGTGAGCGGTTGTGCCTTGAGTAGCAATGCGTGTGTATTAATATACGTGCTGCTACCCGGGAGACTGACTTTGATCGTGATTGGCTGATCGATCGGTCGGTTCTATTGGTTGGTCTGTTGCCCCGATTGGTTGATCGATCGGTCGGTTCTATTGATTGGTCTGTTGTCCCGCACCATGATTGGTTGGTGACCCCGTGACCTTTGAGCTTGGTCTCCTCAGTTTTCGCCTTCTGGTCGGGGTTGGAGCTACCTTCGTCCTTGAGCCGTCTGGCTTCCACTTCATGTTATTTTTGGCTCCAAACTTGCTTTTTGGTGTGTTAATAGTACAGTCGTCTCTCTGAGTACTCCAGTTGGTATATTGACCCTTTGTACGTGGTGGTGCGTGAAACGGATCTAGTTCAGTGCTCGAATCCGTCGTCCACGGCTTCACATAGTGCTGTTAGAACCCCAATCACCATCAATGTCACTAAAATTGCACCATCTAAAACGGACATAGAGCCTTCCAAAATCGGTGTTAGCGTACGCGATACAAATAATTATCACCATTAATTTTGATAAACTTGGCTGCCTCAGCCAGTAAATCTTCGAGAGCTAGTTAGGCATTGAAAATGGGAGGGGTTCGCTGGCTCAGGTGGGTCATTTCGGTGACTTTGGAGGTAACAGGTGATGTTCGATCTGTGCTTGTTGGGCTAAGTGTATAATCGTATGCAATCAACAGTGTTGGCCAACAACTCGGAGCAGAATAGTGGAGATTTCAGATTCGATCGAAACGCTGGTGTTCCAAAAAGTTTCTTCAGGATTCGTGGGTGAAGATTGTGATGACGATGATGGTGATGATCATGATGTCGACGACGATGAAGGCAAATTCCAGTAAGGGTAGATCACCTATAAAGTACTTTTGGCAAACACAGAACCCCAAGCTCTAACTGCATGATATCCTCACCACTCAGACGGAGAAAAAATTTCCCCTGGAGCACTCAGAGAAAAAATCAGAGCATGCACTGAGTAGTCATTCAAGGCTTAGGGCAAACTGCATCCTGTGTCCCGAGGCCAGCCGTCCCTAATCGCCGAACATCACGTCATTTGGACGGATGTGTCACGTGCAGGACACGGACCAAACCTTGATTGGTCAGAATTTCAGCCAATCCGGATCGAGCATCTTCGACTCGACGCTTGTCGCTCCCTCACGGAGATCTTAGCACGACTTTGTGGAACACCCTGTGATTACCCCATAAATACAGTTGTAATACCATTTCTTTTCTTCGTCTTCAAAAGGGGCTGTGTAGAGCTGCCGTGCCTTTTGATATACCACAGTGGACGGAGCAGGAAGCCAAGAGACCGATAAAGATATGCACCACGGTTAAGCAAGACACAACAGTGTTTAGTGTAGCTGCTTCAGTGGGAACCAAACCAGTTGGTCACGAGCACCGCTCAAATGAGAATGTCGTGACAGCACTACGGAGCTAGCCGACAGAAAGGGTTTTCCTGATTGTATCAAACGAAATTGATGCTAGATAATCGTGGCGGGCATTGCAGTGTTCCTGAAGAACAATGATCTCCACAGCATCCATCTGCTGAAAACAAAAGTTCATTGTGACAGCTTTGGAGGTATGGCTGTCTGTGGATACGGGTCAAACCTCACCCATGAGGGAAGCACTGGGAGCCGATGAGTACATTAACCTGGGAACAAATGCATTGATATGCTTTAGCGCACGCTGGTCAAAGCTGGGACAGTAGTCTTGAGAAAGTACAAAGGTCACCGTCCAGAGTAAATCCCCCCAGAACCGACCTAGCTTCTATGAAGCATTCAATTATCAGAAGTACATAAATTTCCCCTTTTCGCACCTCCCTTCCCTGAAACAGTGCATAAATATCCACTCTGCATAT